ATGCTACTTTTTGACTCTGGCTTGGGCCACTTTCTGAAAACATTTCATAAAATATTATCATTTGAGTTGCTGCTCGTTGTTTTTTCGTGTAGAACCAAGGAGATAAGAACAAAGAACATGCAAGTCTGATGAGAAAGGACCAGTCCATGAGGGAATGTGCCCCCTCCTTTTTAAAAAAAATATTTTTCTGCTCAGATCCCACTTGGAGCCTCTGAGTTTGCTGGGTACATTTTGGCCTGTATCTTATTGAAAAGTTTCAGAGCCTAGGTGCCAGGCCTCTAACCCTCTCTTCACACTAAACCAGCAAAGCTCTTCTGTTCCTGTTTCAGTTTCTGTTTTGGAACATGCTGTCCTACTTTAGTGTGATGTCAAAGTTAATAGAATAGACAATGACACAAAAGCACTCAAGGTTTTATGGTGGTCGATTAAGCTTGACTGCCCTTTGAGAGGAGGCTAGTTGATGTTAATACTAATATCAGGGTGATTTGGGGGGTTTATTTGTAATCATAAGAAGTAGTGCAGAATAAAGGGCTGGCACAACCTCCAGCTGAAGGTAAAGACCAAGGCCAGCGTGGTGTTGCATGAAAAAGGGACCTTAACTACTAATGGCTGGATTAAGTCAAGTCGCCCTAGGCACATCTGCTGGTAGAGAGACCCAGCCACTTCTTGTCTGGGGTGAGGCGTGGCTGCAGTGCGTCATTGTGCCAGAAGAGGGTAATGATTAAGCCAGCTGTTTCTAGTACAGGCCGCTTGGCATCTTAGGGCTTGAAGCCAGGGGACTGACTCAGGTCTAGTGTCTTATTCTGGGAGAGTATTGACACTAAAAGCTCTTGAATACTGATGGAGATAGCAACTTGTCTTTTAAAGTCCTCTAGGAAGAGCGAGTTCTCCCAGAAACTCTTCCCCATTTCCCTGGGCAGTTATCCTCCCTCTCTCTGTTGTGTTCATGTTAGCATTTTGCGCCTCACACCTGATACCTGCCTTGTTAAGGAATACCATCTTTTGTAACAAAAGGAAACCCCAGAAACTACACTCTTTTCACTGGAAGAACGCCCCTTGGGGGTTTCTGCTGATGACTGCTGCCACCAAGATAGGCCCAAGGACAGCTGAGCAAGGCTGCCCTGTTTAAGAAACTGACATTGAGGTTTAGAGAAGAACAATATTATAACTCTGGCTTGCTGGTTCTATAAGTTTAATGTGATTAGAATTACCTCATAGAAATCCAATCTGTGAGGTCTGGGGTGGAACTTAGTCTATGGTTCTCATTGAGGCATCTCTGGGACCCCACTTTGAGATGCTCAGCTCTGGATAGATAATCTACTGTAAGAGGCACAATTTGCCCTCCAAGCTCGCATGCCCATCTAATGCCAGAAAGAAGTGGCACTCTTGCCTGGATTTCTCCTTGCTGGCTCTCAGCTCTCTGGAACTGAGGGACACCGTAATTGATGTCCATGTCTTGCAGAACACTGTGCACAAGGGCCTGAGGCCTCTCTTGAATCTACCTGAGGTCTGCCCCTCAGTTTCTGTATCTTCTCTGAGGGCCTGCCCCCATCCCACATGGGGTCTCACCATGTCAGAACCCACAGTGCAACTGCCCAGGACATCGTGCACATCTCACTTCACAACTCCTTATTGGAGGTCTTTCTCCTCTACTAGACAGTGAGCCTAGAACTTAAGAAATTTTGACGATCTGTGGACCAAATTCTAAAACCACCTTTTATTGGTAATTTGGTTTACAAGAGTCAGATCTTGTGTACTTGTTTACTGCAGACTTGCTTAAGTACCACGTGGCCACCTGGAAGTCAAAGCTGCATGTTTAGAGTAGTGTCTAGGATGGGCCAGTGATGCTTTTAAAAAACTGAACCTGGTGCAGGCCCGGGGTTTGTGGGTTCAGATCCTGGGTGCAGACCTACACGCTGCTCATCAAGCCATGCTGTGGCAGCGTCCCATATACAAAGTAGAGGCAGATGGACACGGATGTTAGCTCAGGGACAATCTTCCTCACCAAAAAACAAACAAAAACCCTGAACCATTTTTAAGTTGATTACACTTCATGTTAACATTCTTCAGTTCAGCCCTTAGCTCCATCATAAATAATTATTCTTTACCAGATAGAATATTGCTAATAACATCCATCTTTAGACCACAGTATGAATTTTAATGTTGAGTTGAGGTTGCATTTTGGGCTACTTGCCATTAAATGCCAAAACTGCTTCAGAGTCTGCTGTAAGTCTCCCCTCCTAGACAACAGCAAATGTGCCCAGCTCTTTCAAGAGCCCCCTTGGGACTCTGAGGATCCTGGAGAACTGGGCGACATCTCCTGCAGCGAATCTCACTCTGGAGACTTGCTGGAAGGAGAAAGTCTGCCAAACTCCAGGCCGGGGCTGAGTGAACTTGAACAACATGACGATGACAGCACAGTTCCCGTTACTCCTCACAGAAGGTCACCTATGCATGTTAACCACTTGTTTGTTTTCTAGCCATATATTACCTGCCTGTTGACCTCAACTCACATTAGAGTCACCAGGGAACTTTGAAACCAAAATGATGTCCTAGCCCCTCTCCCAACCAGTTAAATCTGAGTCCCTGAGGTGGGGCCCCTGCCTAAGTATCTTTTAAAGCTCCCAGGTGATTCTAATGTGCAGCCAGGCCTGACAAACATTGCTCTATCATGAGGCTTTACTGTCTATAAAATGGATCTTCTCTGCTTGCCCTACCCGGCACTCTCAAGGCCAGTCTTGGACATTTATACCCCAGAGCAAATAAATTCAAAAAGGGAGAACTGATAAGAGAAAGAGAAGAAGACGGAAACACAATGCAAGGGCTGAAGGCCTTGAAGATACAAGCCTCCCATTTTTCCACCTTTTGACCATTTAGTTGTTCTTGGTGTAGGACTGGGGGAGGGTGTGGGGGAACTGTGGAGTCCTGGGGTAAAGGCTGCCTCTGAGAGTCCAGAGGTTGCAATTTGGTGACCTCTGTGCTGCATGTGACCTGCAGACACATTTTGTTTGGCCTGCAGTGTGGTTGCATGTGGCAATTTACAAAATGTGAATGCCAATCTCTAAAAGTAAGATTTCACATAAAAGCATTCTCTGAGTTGATGGTGTTTGACAGAAGACTTGGTGCTAAGTCAAACAAGGTGCTTCTGAGTGTGGGCTCATTGCTTCTCCTTTAGCCAGGTTACTCTATTCATGAGGGTAATGACTCGAAATATGATTTTAAAATGTTTCCTTCTGATTTGGTTTCACCATTTGAGCAAAAATATTCCCAGAGAGTTACTTTATATCAATTCCTTCTGCTCTTTCACTAAGCCCTTCTGAGGCTGGGCTAGAATTTGAGACAGCACTCCTGAGATTAGTCTTAATTTTGCTGTGGAACCTAGGACTATCTCTCAATGTCTCTGGTTCTGAATGTCCTCATGGGGCAACAAGATGAAATAATTTCTAAGAGTCTGCTTCTGGCTTCCTGGGAGTCCAATGGCACAAGAATAGAATGGAGACAACTTGGTTTAAGAGCAGCTTGTGTGTAATGGTGAAGAAACTCGAAGTCAGAGTGTGAGAAGATCAGCACTGAAATGCTAGCTTGGAGAAGTCTGGGAGGCCTGAGAGGGAGAGGTGGAACTAAGGGGTAGAAGCTAAGTGACATGTGGGTTTCAACCATCCAAACTGGCCAAAGATGGAGTGGGCGGTGTTGGGAGGGAGGGAGTGCCACATCACTGGAGATGGCCATCCCAGGCCAGGCAGCCACGTGGAGGGGATGTTGTAGGGAGCACATGGTGGACCAGTCCCTTCCCAACCTTTAGAGAGAAAAGGAGGAAGCAGGGAGCCCCTCACCCACCTCCTCTCCTTCAGGGAAAAGAGTGGCTCGTTATGACATGCTCTGCTCACAGACGGGATGTCAGCGCCTTGGTTGTTTTTAAATACTGTATTTTTAAAAAAAATTCTTACAAATATTTACGACAGTAAAGGTCATTCTATGTAACAGGGGGACAGATGCCTTTGATGTATCCCCCCTTTCATTTCTACCTCAAAACAAAGTTAAGGCATAAATTACTCGGCTGGGCACCAGGTGTGCCTCTTGTCCTCGGGGCTCAGTCACTGTGGTACCACTTGTCCCACAGACCGGCGGATTAGGTGTTTGCCACCGAGGTTGCACAGGCTCGCGGGTACCTGCACCGGCTTTATTCAGTGCGTTCCAGAGAGGACCCCTCAAGCAGCGCCGGCTGAGCCCTTCTCCTGTGCACGGGTGGGCGGAAGGAGGGATGGGAGGCTGTGTGTGTGTAGGGAGGGGGGTGATGCAGGGAGGGGCGGCCCCCTGCGCCTACCCCTGCTGCCCCGCCTGCAGCCAGGCCAGCGCGTCGGGCAGGGCAGGCTGAGCAGGAAGACGAGGGGATGCGAGGCCCCAGGGACTGCGTCATGCACACGCCTCCTCGAGGTACCTAAGAACAAAAGCCGGAGGGCCGGCAGCCGAGGGGTGCGGCGGGGCCGCGAGCGCCTGGCGGAGCGTGCGGGGCGCGGTCCTTGCGAACGCTTGGGGTGGAGAGTCGGCCGGTCTCCCATCGCGGGGCAGGGTCCCCGCTGCCCGTCCATCACAGTCTCCACGTCCCAGGTCCCAGAGTCTGTCTTCACCCCTGGCCGGCAGCTGTCACTACCAAGCCCTTGGGCTTGGGCTCAGTCATGGGGAGCTCCGGGGGCCTCTCTTCTGTCCTGGGGAAGGAGGTGGGCATGACTCGGGAGCCATTGGCAGTGAGGGGGTGGAAGGACAGTGCAGAATTCGGATCCGCTGTCCCATTGGGTCCTTTTGGAACTAGAGGCCTGGAGTGTGCAGAGTGGGTTTGCAGTTTGCAGTCTCCTCTCCGGGTTTCTTCTGAGGATGGGAATGATTAGGAATTCCTAGCACCTTAGTGGTGGGGGCAGCAAATGCCCCCACAGAGCCTGGGGGAGGCTGTGGGGTGTGTCGTGTGTGTGTGTGTGTGTGTGTGTGTGTGTGTGTGTGTCCCTTTAAGTCCCTAGGGATCTGTGTTGGAGGTGTCTTGGTCAACCAGTAGGGCAGTCCCTCTTAAACTGGCTTGACTTCCTTTCCAGAGGGAGCAGGCTCCTCTCTCAGGAGATGAGGTCAAGTGCAAAGCGAGCTGGCGTCCTGTCCGCCCCAGCTCGGTGGGGTCCCGGGCCTGGGCCTGCACACCGCCTGGGCTGGGGTCCTGGCCCCCATCGACTTGCAGCCTCCTCGGGAGCCTCACTCCAGCACTTTGGGGGGGGGGTCCAGGCTGGGCTCCCTCCTGCGCTTGGCATTTTTAAAAAAGCCGAGCTGTGGGGAGGCAAAGGCAGAAGTCTCAGGGGTGGGCAGGGTGGACAAGGCCTGTCTCCCCTCCCTGCTCTCCCTCCGCTAACTGTCCTCAGGCATCTTCTTGCAGAAGGCTTCCCTGAATACCCTAGCTCGTGCTGTGTACCCACCCCCCCTGCCCAACTCCCCTGTGGGCCCACAGTGGGCCACTTAAATTGGGGAGGGGGCTCTGGAATGGGGTGGGTGGAGCCTAGGGCAGGAGACAGGAAGTCATGCTGTGTGACCCTGCCCCAGTCAATGCTCCTCTCTGGGCCTCCCTCACCGTATCTGTAACAGGAGAGGTTGAGACCAGGGGTTCTTAACCTGAGGCTCAGAGACAGAGAAGGGCATTGGGGGGTTTGTTAACAGCCTGACTTAGTTGGAGAAATTTTGTGGTTGTGTGTACTTGCTTTTTTTCTGATAAGAGGAACCCTAGCTTTCATCAGGTTCTCAAAGTAGCCCACAAGAGGGTCAGAGCCATAGGTTGAGTGCCCTCTGGTGGCCCTAGCCAATCTGCCTGCTGTGGTGAGGGCTGGACGCTGTGGCAGCAGGCAAGAACTGGGGAGGAGGCCAGGTGGGTGCCAGCTCCCATGGGGAGGAGAACATGGGACTGGCCATAGAGCCTAGAGGTGGGAGGCCAGGCCTGGGCCAACCAGCAGGGATGTTGCTCCTGCCCCCCAGGGTGCCCTCACCTTCCACAGTGCCAGGACCAGCAGGGCCAGCAGCAGGAGGCCCCCCAGTGTGCTGCCCACAATGATCCAGATGGGGATCTGGGAGTCTTCTTGCTTGGAAATCTCAAACGTGATCTGCAAGGGGAGAGGTGGGGCCAGGTCAATAGCATTACTGTTCTGGGTCTGGGTGGCAGCCTGGGGCAGGGCTGGAGGGCAGGAGACAGCTAGAACCTAGTGGAGAGTGGCATCCCCTGCCTCAGGGAGATGCTGGAGGGATGGTGGCACCCAGCCAGCAGAGGCCTCAGAGCTCCCGGCCTCTGCACGGTGGACACCTGAGTTAAGTGACCCAGATGATCCCACCTCCTCTTTTGAGACCCTTTCTGCCTTTGGCCTCAAGCCACTCCACTCTCCCTGGAGTCTCCTCAGACCACGTGGGCTCCTCTTTCTTGTTTTCTTTGCTGCTTCCTCATCATCTCACAAACTTCCAAATGTTGGGGTGTCTGGTGGGTCCGTCCTTGGACCTCTTCATCTGCAGTCACTCCCTGCTGAGCTCAGGGCCGCCGACCCAGCAGGCACCGTGGGCACAGTGCCCAGGGCCCACAGTGCTTTTAGGGACCCACGAAAACATCCTAATTTTTTTTAAAATGAGAAGAAAAAAACAAATATAATCTTGCCTGGATTATATTTGTCTTTATATGAACACAGCCATAAAATAATAATTAAAATTTTTTTTATGGAGGGAGGGACCCTGAAGGCAAAGGTGCCCAGGGTCCTGCAAGTCTGCCTGCAGCCGTGGGCGACTCACTCAGTCGTGGGCTTCACCTGGCTCTGCGCTGACCACCTCCATGTTGCTTCCTTTCACCTGAACTCCCCTGAATTCCAGACTCATATCCAACTGTCTGCTCGGCCAGTGTGGCATCTCTAACAGGTCCTGAAACAAACTCTTGATCCCACTACTCACCCTCAAACCTGTTCCTTCACCGTCTTTCCCATCAAAGCAAAGGGCAGCATTGTCCTTCCTTGCTGTTGCTCAGGCTGGAAACCTTATGTTGTGTCAGTGACTGACTTTGATACCCACGTGGACTCCAGCACCATCTGGAGATTGTAGTAACCTGCTTCTGCCTCGCCCCCAGCAGTCTGTTCTCGGCATGGCAGACAGAGGCAGACAAGGCAGATGTATTCTCTCTTCTGCTCAGAGCCCCCCATGTCTTCCCATCTCATTCAGAGGGAAAAATAGAGTCCTTGCCCTGGCCTGCAAGGCCCTACACTCTCCGGCCCTGCTTACCATGCTGACCTCATCTCCTACTCTCTCCTTTGCTCTCTAGTCCAGCCCTCCAGCCACCTAGCCTCCAGCACACCAAGCACACGCCCTTTGCATTGCTGTTCCCTCTGCCTGTAAGGCTTTCCCTGCAGACCCCATGTGACACTCCTGTATGGAACTCAGTTTCCCCAATTGTAAAATGGGGCCAGCCATCCTGCTCTGCTGTCCCTATGGGACTGCTGAGAGGCTTCGAGGGGGACAGTGGGGGTCCCTAGTGAGGGGAGAGGTGCTGGGAGGTGGTGTCACTGCTCACCCCCCCACTACTGCAGCCCTAGCTGCCCTCCCTTCCTCTGAGCGCCACAGCCCTCACCTGTATCACCAACTTTGATGTTCATTAAACATGGTCTTGTTACATTAGAAAACAAATAGTCCTCATAGTCTCTGTCTGATGTTGCTTTACTGGAGAGACTTTTCCCAATGTCCCTGTATAAAACAGCACCCCCCGGGTCTCCATCCTTATGTAACTGCCTTTTTTTGGGCCAACCTTATCACTTCTTGACATCGTGTATATTTATGTTTATTGCTGTCTTCCTGCCTAGAATGTCAGCTCCAGCAGAGCAGGAGCTCTATCTGTTTTGTCCACTGCCCTGTCCTCGGTGTCTGGAGCAGTCCTGGGACAGGGGAGGAGCTCAGTCCACGTGTTGAATGACTGAATGAATGGACCCCTGCAACAGCACGGTAGAGTCCTGGCTTGGCCACCGACTCACTCTTCAACTTGAGGCAAGTCACTACTCCCCTTCCACCTTCTCTCAGCCTCAATTTCCATATCTGAAAAATGGAGCTGGTGTGATGTACCTCACAGCGCTGTGAACAGGCAGCAAGATGGCACGTACAGTGTCTGTTATAGTGCCTGGCACGTAGTTAGGGCTCAAAGAATGGCAGGTCCCTTATATGTTCTCTTCCCATCCCTGAAGGCTGAGACGTTGCTCTGCCTTCCTACCCTGGCACTGAGCACAGAGCCAGGCCAGCAGGGGCTTAAATTTGGGCAGCTGGATTTCTAAAAGAGAAGTGAGGCATCCAGAGAGTATAAGAGGGATTGTCTGGGGGGGAAGTGGGAGTGGAAGGAGAAAGAGAATTCACTTAAAAGACACGAACTAGTGTGGAGAGAGGGGTAGTGTGTGTGTGTGTGTGTGTGTGTGTGTGTGTACGCGTGCGTGCCTGTACCACGTCTCTTCTCTCTTGGTTGCCTGGAAAATTCCAACATATCTCTTAAGATTCAGTTCAGGTGGACTGTCTCCAGAAAGCTTTCCCTGGACATCCCTCGCTCTGACTGCCCCCCAGCCCCAGTACCTGTGCTCACCCCCAGATCGCACCCATGCTTTATTGTCCTCTTGTCTGCCTGACTCATCTCTGTGTCCCCTGGGGGGTCTGAGTCATAGGAGGAGCACCCACAAAGGCTGAATGAATGAGCAAATAAAACCTCTCCCTAGGTGGGTCCCCCGAGTGCTGCTTCTGCGCTTCTGTACCTGCTGCCCCTCTGCCTGGCATACTGCCATCATGTTTGTGATGGATATTTGTGTGTGTCATTAAGGTCTAGCTTTCTGACCATGCCTATTTTGCTTTCCAGCGTCTCCTGGGTGGGGCTGGGGTTAACTCGGCGTCTGGTACCGGAGTGCCCCCTGGAGCCCAGGCCGCGGTTCAGGGACGTGGCCAGTGGAGGGCAGCAGTGTCCCATGCCTGAGACGCCCGTCTCTTTCCGGAGGACTGCACTTTTCCTCAAGACCCAGCTTCTCATTTTCCCAGGAGATCACCCCACAGAGCCTCATCCCTCTCCTGGACCCTGATTCAAGCCAGTCTGGCCTGCGACAATCTGGTTTTACCCCATTCACAAGAGTCCCAATACTAAGGCATCTCACACCCGTTGGTCGTCGCAGATTCACTGCCAGACTTCTAAAGCACATGTCATGTGCATGTCATTAGATTTGAGGTGGGAATGGATGGGAAGGAGAGGGGTGGGATGGCCATTCTAGGCTGCCAGGCTGCCCAAGACCCAGCCTCATGGCTGGTGGGGTCCCCTGGGGCAAATGCCTACTTCTGGCTTCCTCGCCACTTTTGCCCCTAATGGCCTATTTGTCTTGCTTTTTCCCTCTCTGCTGCTGCACTAACCACTGGCAGATCTGTCCATCTCTCCGCTGCAGGATCACACGGGCAGGGGTTGAAGGGAAGCTCAGGGGAAGGGGCAACCTCTTCCTGAGCTGGCCTGGCCCATGGCCACGTCGGCAGGGCTCCCAGGAGCTCACCTGGCGGCTGGGATCCTCCTCGCGGAAGATGAAGGGACTGTGGAACTGCCTCTGCAAGGCTGCATGGACCGCGATCTTCATCAGCTTGTACTTGAGCTGTATGAGCAGAGGCCTCGTCAGAAGCTGGCCCTCCCCAGGGGGAGGCTCCCCGGCACCCACCTCCTTCCTTTTTTCCTTCCAGCCTCACCCAGGCACTCTACTTACCACCTTCAGGGATCTCAACCACAGGTTCCCCAGCAGATGGAAATTGATTTCCTGGTTGGGGGCCAGCCTCATGTTGCAGCTGATGGAGACGACGTCAGAGTTGCTGTGATTCTGAAAGAGACGGTGGGTCTGGGGTGAGCAGCCCGGCTTTGGGGGGAGCAGGGGGTGCAGCTAGCCTAGTGATGACCTGAGAGTGTGAGCAGGGGCGTGGGCTGCCAGAGAGATGGCTCAGTGCACTGCTTGACTAAGTGGGGTTGCTCCTGGTGGGGAGGGGCAGAGGACAGGGGACAAGGAGAGCGGTGGGATGGGGCACACATGGGCTGGGGCAGCCAGGGGATGGCTGGAGGGCAAGGTAAGGATGGCATTTCTGATGCTCCATTTGAAGTTGTGCCTGCCAGGGTGTATGCCAGGAACAGAACTTTGGTTCACCGTTACGGAACCTATAAATGTCGTCACCATACAAACAGATTAAAGGAAAAAATTAAATGATTATTGCAACAGATGCAGAAAAAGCATTCTAGGAAATCCAACTTCTGTTTATGATAAAAACTCCCAGGGAAGTTCCTGAGTTTGAATAAAGGGTGTTTATAAAAAACCTTTGGCAAGTATCATATTTAATAATGAAAAATTAGGGCTGGCCCTGTGGCTTAGTGGTTAAGTGCGTGCTCTCTGATGCTGGCGGCCCGGGTTCGGATCCCAGGCGCACACCAACGCACCGCTTCTCCGGCCACGCTGAGGCCGCGTCCCACATACAGCAACTAGAAGGATGTGCAACTATGACATACAACTATCTACTGGGGCTTTGGGGTGAAAATAAATAAATAAATCTTTAAAAAAAAAAATGAAAAATTAAAAACAATTCCTTTAAAATAATCATCAAGACATGACTGTCGTCATTTCTATTTACCATTGCCCTGGGGGTCCTAGCCAGAGCAATAAGATGAGAAAAACAATTTGTATGGATTGAATGGTAAAGCTAAAACTAGTATTATTTGCAGATGATACCATCTTAATAGAAAACCCAAACAAATCATCAGACACCTAATTAGAATGTATTAGGTGACAGTTATTTGTGTCGCTCTCTTGCAGCCACCTCCTCCCCACCAGAGCCCAAGTCTTAAGTGCACTACACTCAAAAAATGCTTGGTGTGAGGCCCTTGTTTGGGGAAATAAAACTAAAACAGCTAAGATTTTTGTCTGGGTAAGGAATAGTGAAAGCATGCTCAGAAATTGGTATCTGGGGACAGAGGCAGCCCGGAGAACATAAACCTGGAGACTAACAGGTGTCTTGGGGTCATGGTCAACGTCTCCAAGACAAGCCATGTGTGTTCTGGCCCCATGGCTCCTTCCCCTTCCCTTGGCTTATCCTGCCGGCCCTTTTAGGCTCAGGGGCAAGTCCCCTATCCCTGTCCCTTTATGGCCCAGGTTGTCCACTCCTACTGTCACTCTCTTGACACATATCACGGCTTGTTCTCTGGCTTCTTCCGCACTCACTCTTGTGTCCCCTGCAAGATGGTGAGCTCACTAAGGGCAAGAAGTATCTTTTCCTCATTCTGTTTCCTTTTGGTTTGAGGCTGGGCGCACACAGGTGCCCAGCGAGCTCTTAGTGACCACTATTGGATAAGGAGAGAGAGAGCCCCATGTGGGCAGCACTCGGCTTCCCCCACTCCCAGAGCCGTGGGGGACACTCACCAGCTGTGGGGCTCGACTCAAGTCTTCCTCTGTGGGGGCCTGCCGGTACTCGGTGCTGTTCCCCCAGATGTTACAGGACGCGTTCACCTGCACAAGGGACACACACAACCAGCCTCACAGCCAGCGCCGGCAGACTCGGCAGCCCAGGGATGCTCTTTTCTCCTCCTCTTCCCAGAGGGCCCAGCTGGCCCTGGGCCTGGGGGAAGGAGCTGAGGTCTGAGGACTTGGGGACACTCCTTCTGGTCCCCTCCCCTAAGCCAGCTCCCAAGGGCATCGGTACCTGGTCAGTGCGGAAGTCCCTCAGCATCAGCAGGCGGTTGCCGCCCCTGGTGGCGATAGGAATGGTGATCTTCATCACCACGCCGTGGATGGGGAACAAGCCCAAGTTCTGGACCTGTGGCCGGAGGGGCGGTGTCAGTGCACACAGCAGCAGATGGGGGGTGGAGGACGAGGTCCAGAGGGACCAACCAGCCCCTGGGGGTGGCGATCCCCCCAGCCAGGCCTGGGAAATAGGCTGTAGAAGCTCTACAGCTCTGCCAAATCCTGGCCTGGGGGCTGCCCTGATGAAAGTGCGTGACAGCGCTGAAGGGGCGTGGGCTCCCGGAGGCTGAGGACAAGTCAGCGGGGGCCATGAAGCTGGAGAGCAAGGGTCCCTTCCATTTCCAGCCTCTCTTGGCTGTGGGGATTTTGTAGCCTGGTGCTGGCGGCCACCCTGGGCAGAGGCCGGGGATGGAGATGGTGACAGCAATTAATTTATTATGAGAGAGAATCATTAATTAATAAAGGATATAAATAGTGTGTGATAGTTCACATTCTAGCTGTGACACATCTGGTGTCAGAGCAGCAGTGATGACAAGCAGGGCTTGGAATCAGAAAGATCAGGAATATAACCTGGGGCTCTCACACAGCAGTTCAGGGGTGGGGAAGACAGCGGGCCCCACTGTGGCAGAGACTGCTAACCTGCCTCCTAATTCTCCTTCTCCTTCCTTTAGTGACAGAAACCGAGACAAAAACTGCATTTCCTTGCCTCCCTTACAGCTAAATCACAACGTGCTGGACAATGAGAGGTAAGTGGAAGTGTGAGGAACTGCCAAGGAGTTCATTCCTTAGTAGAGAGGGGCATGCTCTTCTCCCCTTCCTTCTTCTTGCTGCCTGGAATGAGAATGTGATGGCTGGAGCTGTAGCCATCTTGGACTATGAGGTGAACTTGAGAGGCTGATAATTGCATGCAGAGGATGGTGGAACAGACAGACAGAAGGAGACCCAGTCCCCAATGACTCTGTGAAGCTGCCAACTCTGGCCTTCTTTTATGGGAGAGAATAAACCCTGGTGTGTTTAGACCACTGTTTTTTTTTTTTTTTTGTGAGGAAGATCAGCCCTCTGCTAACCTCTGCCAATCCTCCTCTTTTTTTTTTTTTTTTTTGCTGAGGAAGGCTGGCCCTGGGCTAACATCCGTGCCCATCTTCCTCCACTTTATATGGGACGCCACCACAGCATGGCTTGCCAAGGGGTGCATCGGTGCGTGCCGGGATCCGAACCGGTGAACCCCGGGCCTCTGCAGCAGAGCATGCGCACTTACCCACTTGCACCACCGGGCCGGCCCCTAGACCACTGTTTTTTATATTTTAAAAATTATATTCAGCCACACCTAATCTTCATGGATACATGCTCCCAGTCCAGCCCTGTAATTTTCCAGATGAGAACTGAGAGGCCCAGAGAGGGGATGTAACTTGCCTTAAGTCACACAGTGAGTGGGCAGCAGGGTTGAGGCTGACCCCCAGGCACTGGCAATGATTCCAGATTCCTCCCCTCCCAAATGGGGCATCCTCAGCTCCTGTCCTTCACTCCCTCCTGGCTCCCTCCAGCCTTACCTTGAAGACGCAGCTGAAGGGAGGCCCGGTGCCCTCATATGTCTCCAGTGAGCTGTTGGGCTTGACCTCGTAGTAGCTCAGGCTGCTGCTCCTGCAGAGACAGAGCGCAGGGCCGCTGTGAGCTCCATCGTGCTGGCCAGATGGGTAAATGAACGAAAGAGGGTGGGCATGTGCCTGCCTCCCCCAGGCCACAGAAAATAGGTTTCCTCTCGTGTCCGTCGGGAGTGCTGTGTTGGGAAGGATTCTGAGGCTCAGCAGGATTAAATGGCTGAGATCAATTAGCTGCGTCTGACTAGTGTCGGGGATGGGCGTGAGCCAGAAGAGCCAGTTGTTTGCCATCCCTGCCCTGGCCTCTCTGAGCATGAACTCTCCCCCTGTGCACCGTTCCAGCCTCTAGCGGTGGCTGGGGGAGACCTGAACTTCCTTGCTGTGTTTGCTGTTGTGTCCTGACTTCTCCATCCACCTGGGAGCTCTCAGAGGACACACGGGGACCCACGGCCCACCAAGTGGAGTGGACAGCGGGGGAGCAGTCTGCCCTGTGGGAGAAGCGTTTTCTCCCTACACTGTTTAGAATTGCTGGTGCATGGAGTAAAGAAAAGCAGACGGCGTTTTAGTAGGTTTTATTACCGTTTTAAAGTTCTCTACAGACCCTGCCCCCACTTATTGCCTGCACCTGGGTGGATGCCCCCCGCTGCCTTGGCCCTCCCCTTCCAGCCACCTGGGAGCTCCTGGGGGCCAGCTGTCTCCTCCTTCCTCTATTTTGACACCACCTCCCCACCGTGGACAACGGGGCTGCACTCTCTGACCCCTCAGGGATACACTTGGCTCCGTCTCATAGTCCCTCAGCACTGCGCCCGGCCCCGGGGACCTCCGACCCTATGAGGGCCCTCCAGAGGGCGCCCCATCTTAGGCCTCACGCCCCCGTGCCTCCCCTCCCCGGGCCCCGCGCGCACCTGGTGAAGAGCACGTCAGCCTCGTACTTGAGGTGGAAGCGCAGGAGCGCCGTGTTGTCCTGCTTGGTGCTCTCCTCCTCATCGCTGTCACTGCGGGAGAGCCAGGCAGGTCAGGAGGGAGCCAGCCCTCCCTCCTCCCAGGCCAGCCAGCACACGGGCCGCTTCACTGCAGCAGGAGGGAGCTAAGTCAGACTGAGGAGGAGCATCCTGGCTCGTCTAGGGCTGAGCAGCCAGCACTGGGACAGCCAGGGAGGGAATCGGAGGCATCTCCGGGGGGCGGGGGACTGGTGACATAAGCTTTCCTGCTGCCTTTTTAGGCGCAGCACGTCTGGGCTGGTGTGGGGCAGGGAGAGACTTTGGATGGCAGTTGGGGGGACCGTGCCCTCTTCGCTGAGCATCCTCATCTGTCAGATGGGCAAATCCTGTGCTGTGGGCCCGAAGGGAAAAGGCTGCCCGCTCTGCCCAAGGGAGGCAAAGACAAGGAGGACTCCCTAGCAGTGTGGTTTGTCTATCCTTGACCCATCCCCCCGCGCTGGCTGGATGGGGGCAGCTCCCGCAGCTCGGCTGAGGGTGCCTTGCTGTCTTGGAAAAGCCAGAGAGTGAAATTCAGAGACATTTGGAGGGAGTGTTGTCAAATATGCTTCCCTTTACATCTGAGCAGGAACGAACAGGGCGAATAATTTTAGACATAAAAATATACGATTTTTGCTCGTTACCTAAACTGTTTCATTTCCTTTGGAAGCCTTACCCCAGGATAGATGATTAGTTGAAAAGGGATACCTGACACACAGACACCCCAGTATCCCCCTCACGCATGTGCCTAATTCACAGACACCCACAGACACCTACAGGGCCAATGACACACTCTGCAAGTGGATTTGTATCCTGTGAGGATGGGACAGTGTTCTAAGAGCAGGGAAGGGCATGAGAGAGGCCCTAAGATACTAACATAGCTTACAAACCTGGTGTCACGTCAAGTGAGAAGTCCACCAAAATGCACCATTTGTTAACTACAGCCAGGACGCCAGCCTGCAGCCGTGCTGCTGTGTTGAACCCTCGCCCTACTGTGACCTCTGACCCGTGTGTGTGTGTTGGAATGTCGGTGTCGGGTTTGCCTGTGGTATGTATTTCTCAGTGTGGAGAAGTTCTCAGGAGGAGGTATAAGGCTACAGAGTAGCCTGACTCCCTTCCTGCCCCTAGCATGTTTACTGCTGACACCAGGTGGTTCACAGTGTCAGCCTGGGAGACAGACAGAGAGACCCACACAGAGTAAGGGAAGGTCCTTTAAAAATGGAAAAATTTCCAAGGGGAGAGAGGTGACCAGGACAGAAAGAGCACTGGATAAAGAGCAGGACAACTCGTGTTCAGCTCCCAGTCGCACTATTTACATGCTGTGTGTCATGCTGTGTGTTGTTGGGAAACTCACTTAACTTCTCTGAGGCTTCCTTTTCTTACCTGTCACTTGGGAGGTGGGGTGGGGAATAATCCCTGCTTTGCCTTCTTAAGGGTCTGCTGTGAGGAGTGACTGAGATATTATATGTACAGTGGTTTCTAACTGTAGGGTTTGTAAATAACTGCTATATTAAATTCCATATAAAGGTAAGGGTATGATTATTTATATCCAAACCGCCCAAGAATGAAGAATGCGGCAGCACAGTATGCAGCAGATTGGCCCACACTTGGGGATTGGCCCCGGGCCCTCCCGGGTTGGGGCAGTGAGGGACAGGGCTTGCCGGGGCACTCAGTGTGGGGAGCAGCAGAACAGCGCCGGGAGCGTGGAGCTGGGAGGGAGAAGGAGCGGCAAGGCGCTGACCTGCCCGCAATGAGCTGGATCTCCAGGTGGTGCAGGAAGACGGATTTGCTGAACTCGAAATCGAGACGGAAAGCTACCTGCAAGGAAGAAGTCATTGGAGCTGGGGCGGCGGGGACTGCGTGTGTGGGCGTTGCCGGACCAGCCCTGGCCCACCCTCCCAGCCCCTGCCCCCTCTGGGCTGGGAATGGGCAGGGGGAAGGGAGGACCAGGTTCTGGAGTAACGTGAGCTGCTGAGGGGCGCAGCCAAAGACAACAGCTCCTCTGATGGGGTTTCTTGGCTGTGGGGCTGGTGCCCCTCCCTCCTCCTCCTTTTCTGTTTTTAGCTAAAGACAACTAGAAGACAGCAAGTCCAACTTCAGACTGTTTCTGCAGATTTTCTGGGTGGGGGACTTGATGGCAAGAGGGGAGATGGCCATCACCAAGCACCGCAGGATGTGGGGGCCAGAAGACTGCCTCATCCCCGCCTTGTTCTTGTGTGTGGTGGGGCTGAGGCTGCCCTGGGGACCTGCCTCCTTGTCCAGCGCCCCTCCTGCCACTCTGATGGGTCCTGATGCTTCCCTCGGCCTTGTCCAGGAGTGGGGCCTGGGTCCCCTGACTGTTTTCCTGTGATATCTGAGCTGCCTTCTGCCCCACCAGGGGCATTACTGGGGCTTTGCACAGACCCCTGGGCTCGGCGGGGTCTGGCCCTCATATGGTTTCCCAAGGAGCCCTTGGGGCCCCATTTTCCCAGGAAGTGGCTGGGGTAGGGGGGAAGCTTGTGCTGTGTGCTGCTCCCCGGGTCCTGATTTGTATCCCGCTGGGGAGAGTCTTTGACAAGGAGCCCTAATCCCCTGGCTGGCCTGGCAGACCCTACTCCGGGGAACACACTGCTGTTCCCCAGCTGGCTCCCGCCTCAAGCTGTCCTCTGTCTGGTTCCCGCTTCACAAACAGCTTGGCCTCAGTTAGGTCTTCCCTTGCTCCAGAACCTTCAGTGGCTGCCCACTGCCCAGGGGTGATGGGCAAATGCCCCCACAATATGGAATCTACCTCCCTTTCCCAGCTGGTTTGCTTCTCTCTTCACACACCCCGCAGTCTCTTCACACGCACTTCTAAGCACATGGTAGGTGCTCAAGAAATGTTCATTTTTCTCCCCATCTCTCCCCATGCACGGCATGATGACAGGGGCTAGACATTTAAAGACTTGTTAGGATAAAGGACAGCAGGATTGGGAAAGAGACGGGGAGAGTGGTGGGGGAGTGACAGGACCCCCTGGAGGTGAAGGGGCCTGAGTCCTCTCCTGGGGCCGGCAGACTAAACAGGTCATTTGAAAGTCATTTCATGGGAGAAAAATCTAATATTCTAAAAACCACTGTCAGGTCTCTCCATCCCTCCCAGTCCTCCCCTCTGCTCACTTCCATTTCTCTTGCCTCCCCTGTGCCTCCCGGTGCCCGCCCTGGTCCCGTCCCCACACGGCCCCAGCCTCCACCTTGGCCTTGGCCCGGAAGAAGGGGTAGCTGACATTGCAGACTTTCCTGTGGAGTCTCCGCTCCTCGTTCACGCACTCGATGCTGCCGTCCGAGTCGTCCTGGGGGCGGGTGGGGGCAGCACAGGCAGCAGTCAGGCGGGGCCTGAGACCAGGTCTGGGGCCATCCTCCCCCTCACCGCCCGCCGGTGCTGAAGCTGCAGCCCAGGCCAGGGGACCTGGGACCACAGGGCCCCAGAGGCTCCGGTGTGGCTTGGGTCAGGGGTAGAAAGTGTGGTGGGCACAGTGCAGGGTGAGGCCGCGCTCATCAATGGCCCGGTTGTGGAGAGAGGGGCAGGCCCTCATGTGTATGCTTTGTCATTCCCTCTGCAGCAACCCGGAATGCAGGACTGATCATCCCGCTTACAGGTGGGGACAGTGAGGCCCAGAGACTGGACTAACTAGCGGGGACCACTGTAAAGTGGCGGGGCTGGGCTCTGAAGGCTCTCCAGTCTGGCTGCCCTGCCTCCCTCTGGCTTCGCGGCCCTTTGATTGACTGCACATCCTTCCATCAGAGGGATGGGAAAGGATCTCTCTGAGCCACGAAACGAGGCTTTGGGGGTCTCGGAGATCTTCATAATCCAGAATACCAGTGAGCAGGTTGTGCACTGACCTCCTGGCGGGGCTTGGGGGGGATCTCTCTGAGGCTCTATTCCGCCTCCCCCCCAGGGCAGGGCTGTGTCTGCTCCCTACTCAGGAGATCCCCGGGAGCCTCTGCTGCCGTCAGACTTTCCAGCAGTGCTTCTTTCTCTCTTTTCTGTGACTCCGCCCCCTTCAAACCCTACCACCACTGTCCGGCTCAGGGCTCTCAACAGCAGGTCACTCTCTGGCTGTTGGCCACTGAGAAAAAGGTTGGCAGAGTTTAGGGGGAAATGCCACCGGGCTTCCCCAGCCTGTCTGAGCTGGGGCCCCGCTGGGCTAGCATGGGTGTCCGCTCAGCTCAGGGCCAGAGGGAGGGGACTCGCACATGGTGCTCTAGCTGATGCTGTTGGTTGGCCCTGCACTCATTTGCATGGGTCTCGCTTTGCTCATCTGTCAAATGGGGACGGCAGTACCTGCCTCATGTATTATGAGGATTAAATGATACAACGCATGTAAATGCAGGGCCTAGTTCAATGCCCAGAATAGTGTCATCACTCAATACGGCAGCTATCATTATGACAGCCAGCCTTGGTGGTCCAGTGGGTAAGGTGCAGCGCTTCCACCGCCACGGCCTTGGGTTTGTTTCCTGGTCAGGGAACCACACCACCCGTCAGTCGGCTGTCATACTGTGGCAGCTGCGTGTTGCTGTGATGCTGAAAGCTATGCCTCTGGTATTTCACATACCAGCAGGGTCACCCAGGGTGGACAGGTTTCAGAGGAGCTTCCAGACTA